CTGCCATGAGAATATGGGCTGGAAGTCCCAAGGTCAAAATGGAAGACACCTCAGATAGTTGAGAATGACCGAGCTAAGATTCTATGTGCAATATTTATTTATTGTCTTAAATTCATTTTTACAGTTTGAAGTTAAGCAGGACAGACTTATGTTTAAGATACTTATTTAACTCAGCAAAGTTTGTTATTTTGTATTAAAGTGACTTGCTGGATAATTATTTGTTTTCCATGTTTTTATGTCACAAATATGCATCTAATTCAATACAGTTTTTAGGCAAATAGTTAAGAAAATCATTTCACTCACAAAGGGGGGCTATAAAAAATTTTTTTGCCAGGAGGGGTACAGGTAATCGGGTCACCTGGCACGCACATGAGGTGTCCCTTTCTTTCTTTTCAGGGAGTTGGCAACCCTATTCCATAGTAAATCATTCTTTGGCGTCATTGGCTTTGGGCAGTGTGCTGGAGCAGAGAGATGAAACCGATATGGTTCTGGCCCACTGGGTTTAAAAAAAAACTCCTTCAACATCTTGTGTCAAGGGGATGAAAGAATCCACCTGAAAAGATCCATCAGTGGCATAGCTACTAGTGTCCCTCTGCTGACTCTCTTTAAGCTAGCGGCCATGTCCTGACCGCACCCCTGTTTAAGCCTCTCAGCTAATGTGCCTTAGGGTCTCTGGGCACCCACCACTTTGGTTAAACTTTTTTTAATTTGTCAGGGGTGGAATCATCTTTTTACATGGGTAACTTTACACTTTAGGTGCCATTAGTGCAAAAATAAATGCTAGCAGCATGCTATGCTTAATTGCGGCATAAGCATTACATGTTTAGCGAACATGGCAGAGCAGATGATGCATACAGTCCTAGCATTGGTAAAGTTATAAGCTCTAGCACTAGCTTCTAGGATATAGCAGTCACCTACAGGGACTATTACTGTATACTGTAAGTATATACCTTATTTGTGACTCTAGCTGATTATGACACATTCTTGTGACCTTAGACGCAATGGTGTAGCACAATGTACCAAATTAGTTCTATAATAACCCTATTCTATCTTCACATACTTAACTAATTACATGAACCATTATGAGGAAAGAATTATTAAACCAACACGCCAAGTCATTTGTTTAGTTTCACTACCATCTTCTTCAGGGAAAAAAAACAAAAAAACGTCTTGGACCAATTGAGGAAATTGTATCTTCTTTTTGGGGTATGGCCGCTATATATGCGAACACCAGATTGGACTTATATTAGGTACAAAGTTCATTGAAGATACACTCTTTAACCTGCCTTGATGGCATTACAAATTTTTTCAGCTGTAGGGAACTCCTCCCACCTTGAAGGCAATGGTGGCACAAGAGATAGAGGCAGTGGCTGCTCAGGGGTTTATTTTCTCCAGGGGGGGCTATAAATTAAAAATACGTATACCAAAAACTAATCAAACGTGTACATAGTTATTACACAAGTATACTAATTTGAATGCAAACAACAATAAACATTATAAAACACTTTATAAAAAATAAAACATGATTTTTATGTACAGGTTTTCTTTTTGTACATAAATGTTGCCCTTCTGAGGCTTTGTGAAGGTAAATCTGTGTTTTGCATGATCCAATATAATGTCACAGACCTAAAAAACATAATGTGCCAGTTTAATCATGGAGAAGCTATTAGTCAGCTTTATACTTTTTCTTAATATATAAAAACTATTTTTTTTCTGAGAATGTGTATATTTAAGAGTTTATTTTTGGTTGTAAATTAACAAACATCTAGAAAAAGTACACTATATTATATTATTTTCCATGTGAATCCCAGATTGTTCATTCTTCTTTGCCTTTTCTAAAAAGTGCTTTGAATCAGTCCTACCTGTCGGAGAGGTGTTTTAAGTCTGTCTGTCCAGACTGTGTCCATGTCAAATCCCTCCGGTCACTTTTAAAAAGAATGCAGGGAAAACAAAAAAGTGCATTAGCTGTCCCAGAGGCTGTCAGCCACGACTTACACTGGAACCAACTCCTTCTAAAAGTCAAGTTGTATGATTTAGCTTTTTCCTTGGTTTGCTGCATTAAATTTATTTTGGGCTTGTCAGGTCCCAGTTCCTTTACATTAATTTTTTCCACCATCGTCCTTCTCACAAAAGGGTAATTCAGTAAAGATCTCACTGAATTGTGTGAAAGCTGCTCTTCAAGTTCAGCTGTCATCATCGCCATAATCTGTACCTCACTGCCTGACTGACTACTAGCTACATCACCTATATCACTGTGGCAGGGGCGAAAATTAAATGAGGCCCAAAGCCGTTAATTTTGGCAATGCTGATTGCCGCTTTGAATTAGCGCCCAAGAAGAAAAATGATACGTTGGTGGAAATGCACTGTTGAATGAGACTCAATTGGTAAGGGTGCTGTTTTAATAATTCATTTTACATGTAGCTGCATACTATTAAGTAAAATTTACATTGATAATACTTTTAAAATCTATATATATATTATTTATGACTTTTCCCTTTCATGTCTAGGGAGGGCCCCCTATGGGCCAGCCACCACTGGATAGGGGTCTGTCTTGTAACTGGCAGGTAGTAGGTTCAAGCCAACACTTTGTCTGTTGCTGTGTGCTTGGGCAAAGTACTGTACTTCACCTCTCTTACCTGCAGTTGGCAGTCAGAGGCATGGTGGTGCTGGTTAAGCAGCCTTATTTCTGTCAGTCTCCCCTGGCAGCTGTAGCTTACCACTATGAGTTTGAATGACTCAATGTATTGCAAAGCTCTTTGGGGACCTTGAACTTAAAGCATTATAGAAGTACAGGCAGTTTAAAAGCTGCCTTGAAAATGGGTTACTGCTGTATATAAAATTTTCCATTTTTTTTATCTGTGTGCAATTTACACCTTTTATTATTACATGGCTGGACACAATAATAATTTACAAATCTTTACATGGCCATTACAACAACAGAAGTCTGTATATATTTATCCCGATTTTTCATAAGCGAAGCACAAACTAGTAGTTGGTAAGTGGAAAGAAACTAAAACATTTTAAATATTGTGGAGTTTTTCAACTCATGAGTAAATGCTGTGAGGAACCACCCCTTTTCTCCTTCGAGTTACTGTTTTTACTATTTTTAGAAAGAAAGAAAAAAAAAACAGATTACAGCTGCAAGTAGTTTGGGGTATATCTATGACTTTTGCACATTAACAGACTGAAAATTTGCAAAATCTCCCAGCAAAACGGCTGAAAACCAAAAACCAACAAACATCAGGAGTGGACTAAAATACAATACCTGCTGAGAGAGAGGAGAGGTCTCATTGACAGTTACAGGAATCATTTGATTGCAGTGATTCCTTCTAAAGGTTGTGCAACAAAATATAATCTAGCGGGTCTCCTCATTTTGTCCAGGCCTGTGATATGAGTTTATTTTTAAAATCATTCTGCTGAAGGGTGGAAGAGAAGTAATCTCTTACTTTCATATATTCATTACTCATTGATTTTTATTTAATAATGGTTTTGTCAGTTTCAAGTAATTTCTGTAATGATGTGGGTTTTTCTTTTATTTAATTGATGGGTACCACATTTATTAACTTTAACATGTAAACAGGCAAGGGTCTAGCAGATTTTGTCCCTTGACCAATACAAATGAAAGACTAACTAGCCCTCTGCCATGTTGGCTTTTTTATCCATGGCTTTCAATTTTCCATTTTAATAAAACATTCTCATAGCAACAGATTCTTCCACCTACAGTAGTATGCAGCTTCTCCAGGGATACCATTGGCCTCTTGGTTGCTTCCCCGGGTAATGCTCTCTTTGCTCGATACTGTATGTCAGTTAATGTGGATGGCTCCACCCTCATAGGTTTGAAATTATTTCATTTTGTTCCATTTTCAGATGATGACTGAACAGTGGTCCATGAAGGTGTTGTAGAATTGATGCATGTTTTTAACCTCCCAACTTTCTCCCTGACCAGCGTGCTTTATTCCTTGGTCTCCATAATCCTTTTGTTTACTGATGTTCTAAAAAGATCTGGATTTATTCCAACATTAATATTTGCAGACACTCTTGTGGGCAAGTAATAGTGTTTGGTTATATTTTGAGCCAACAGAGAAAGGAGGCTGAAATACATTGCACATCAAACCTTTAAGATTTAGGTCGTTTCTCAATTCACAAGAACGTGAGTACGGACTCATGTCCTTGACAATTATCTTCTTGAGAAGAACAAAGAAAAGTGTGGACTTGGGGGGGAACGGGAGTATGCAGCATAAATATGGGTCAATTGGAACAGAAGCGTACTGATGACGTCACCACACCATCGGCTAGTCTGAAGCTGCATTTCACCTCCTGTTATTAATAGTCTCTACATAATAACAAATTCTTACTTTTTCATTCATTGGGGGAATAATAGTTAACACAGTCAGATAAACACAAATCAAATGAACATTTTGCCAAATAAAACAAAAAACTCACCATCAGAGCCATAGGTCCTTCACACACGGCTATGCCGAGAGAGGGCTGCTGCTAGGATTAGACATGGCTGCCGTTACCCTCAGAGGTTCTCTGATTGCCGCGGTCCTCCAACCTGTGTTGTTTTTTTTACTACGCATTAAATTGGTAAATTGGCTATATAGTGACGCTTAAAAGTATAATGTTCTTGCCTCAAATTATCTTTTTAAATGTACTTTTACTGAACAACGGCAACAGAAAAGATAACTTTTTATCTTAATACCCTGACCTCTGTGAGGGCTTCATTGGAAGCTGCTGCTGCTGCAGTGCATGCTGGGACAGCTGTCAATCTCAAGGACGGACAAGTCTGCTCTGATGCATACTCGGTAAATGGGGAGGGGCAAGAACAACATCCGGGAGAACGCACCACCACACATATTGGGAAGCAATATTAGAATCGGAAAACTGAAAATATGTATTCCTTTTCATGCACTTATAGTTATGTACTGCTTTATGTATGATATTAAATAAATCTATATAAAATGTATAAACATGTCTAAGTAAACCTTCACGGTCTCTGAATACATTGGTAAGTTCCTGTGTAACTTGAGTGGGTTGTTTCTGGTTGATTTTGCTTAATTTAATCCAATTCCTTCTTTTGCTCTGCAGCCCATGTTTTCAGTCACGCCCAGCCTTGCAACGAATGCCAATGCTGCTGCAGCAGCAGCCGCTGCATTTAACCCTTACCTTGGCCCTGTGTCACCAAGCTTGATGCCCGCTGACATCTTGCCAAGTGCACCTGTACTGGTCACCAGCAACCCCAGCATCCCAGTACCTGCCGCTGCTGCCGCCGCTGCTGCGCAGAAGCTTATGAGGACAGACAGACTGGAGGTGAGAAATAAATTTACACAGAAAATAAATAAAACATTGAATAAATCATTAAAAAGTAAGAAACTATAGAAACATAAAAATGTTTTTTTTTTTTGTAATTTCCAAAAGCCGTTTTCCAAACCAGCACAACTTCAAGAGATATTTTTTCAAACTGTGCACACAGACTAGGCTTTGAAATGTAGACTGATGCCTATTTGAATAATAAACTCAGGAGTTGAAAAGTCTTGCCTCAACAAATTTTGTTTGTAGACTTTAATTATGTATCTTGCACATTGTTTTTGTCACAGTAACTACACATTATTACCATAACTCAGTTTTTGCCAAAGATTAAGCAGAGGGAAAAAGACACTAATGAGATTATCTCTCAATAAACATTAGGCTTGTAGTTTCAATTAACAGGCAGCAGACAACATCGTTTGGCAAAACAGCAAGTAGTTCTGCACAGAAAGTGTGTTTCTGTATTAAAAAAGCTTCCTTTCTTCTATGAAAACAATTACTCATTTGAAACCTGATGAGCACTCCTCCCCTCGCTTACTAATTGGACAGTAAGTCAATCTCATCCATTATGTAGCTGCACTCGGGAAACACTTGCAGCGGAATAATGGAGAAATCATTGGAGGCAGGCAGGAGGCATGTGAGAACACAGGGAAGCTTGCATCTGAGTTGTAATGCTTGGTAGCAGGGTAATTAATGGGGGTAAGTCACTGGATGTGGTGAACGAGCGGACGACATGCGGAGCGAGGCAATGGGTCAATGATGGGAGAGAGAAATGGAGCAGGCGATTGGAAATCAATTCGTAGACCTGTTGTGCTCATCAGAGGAGGGTTTGAGGCAGTCACAGTCAAAGATAACAGCAAAAAGGGAAATGGATCAGATTGGAATTCGTAGACAAAAGAGTGATTAGACTTAAATGTGAGCAAGAGTTGTCACCAGAGAAGGTGCATATGTGTCTTTATTTAAAATGGGGATGAATACTTGTTCCTGTTTAGGCAGTATCACAAGGAAACTGTACTTTTTGGATCTTAATGACATTGCTGTATGAAGCAGGGAACTGACTTCTTAACAAATCTTCCTCAAAAAGACACACGGTGGTTGCAGAATTGATCAACTGTATGAGGATATGTTTGTTTGCCAAGTCAGGAAATAGAAAAAAAAAACATGTCCAACCTTTTATTTCATACTGTAGTTATGTTAATTCCTCTTAACTATCACAATAAACCCAGTACAGTGTGTTGAAGTGTACAGCTGCTAAGTATTGAGTTAAAGTAAGAAGTAGTACCGTAAGTTAATTGTTCAAATCGCTTTATGTTCTGATTTAAAAACCTGCCTGTTTTTGTAATTTCGATCATGATTTCTTAAATAAATTCTAAAAACAGACTTGCCTAACATATTTTAGTATGTATTGTGTTTCATGAAAAATAATGCTTGCTGGAATAATATTAAAATATACTTTTACCAGACAGTTCATAAGATATTGTTACTGACTATTTATCTATTTTAGGAAGACAGTCTTGTAGACTGTTTTGCTGAAAAAATATGTATTTGCCATCTCTCTTCTTATCCATATATTAAATCATTTGTTCCTTACTTGCAGCCCTGGTTATGCAGATGTTCCATAGGGACAGTTATCCTGTGGGCATAAATATGAATACAGTAGGAGGGCCTGTGTGTGTTTGTCAAGTGAATTAGTTTTACTGATTTCTCTCCCGGTACTGCATAACTGTAATTAGAACCTAATCGGTTCACACCTGCTGCCCCTGAACACCAAAAATGTATGTATCATTTATTCTTCTCTTAAAATCTATTTTTTATGCAGCACCTCTGTCTCAGAAGTCTTCATCTGTCAGTTGACTTCTCCTTATTCATTAGCCCTGCTAACATCTTTTCTTCCTCTTGCTTGTTCCACCAACGTCTACCTGACAATGCAATCAATCTTAAAAAAAAAAAAAAAACTCAAGCAGGTCTAGCAAAAAATAGGAAATAAATAAGATGTATGTAATATGCAGTATCCTTCCTTTGTGTCAGGCAGTACTGATTACTTGTAAAATGGCCTTCTGTTAATGCATCTAAGGTAAATTCAGGTCATGAAAAATGCATTCTGTGAAAATATGGATTCGGTCAGAGTTAACATTTAAATTGCTGTTCAGAGACACAGCTGGCCAGAGATAGGAGGTTATTGCTTTTTTAGGGTTAGGATTTATTTTCAGTTACAACAAAAAGTTTATTCAGGTGTACACAGCTTATGTCTATCTCTCTGTGTTATTCATTAAGTGTATTCAGAGGATTGCGTCAGTTAAAACCTCCCCTGAGGGTAACCAGCCTTGTATTTCCCATGGGCCTCACTTAAGCTGTAAATTTCATACAGAAGCAATTATGTCTCTCCTTAGTTTTGTGACAGATTATGGAAATGCTGCCCCCTTCTGTCCACCTTTGGGACAGCACACACAAAAAAAATGCTCATTTAAACAATGAATGCAAGTTGTGGGACTAGAGCAGTGTTTTTCAACCCTGGTCCTCAAGGTACACTGCCCTGCATGTTTTAGATGTTTCCCAGCTTTCCCACACCTGTTATCAATTGATAGCAGATTATCAGGCTTTGCTGAACTGCAATCATCTGAATCAGGTGTGCTGAAGCTCAGAAACATCCAAAACATGCAGAGCAGGGTGCCTTGAGGACCGGGGTTGAAAAAAACTGGACTAGAGAATTTGCAAACGTTCTTCAAAGAATGATCAGCTTATGAATCAAACTGGTTAGATAGATTGGGTAGATCTGTATAGTTTTTTGGGTTTTCGAGCTTTGAAATGACAAATAACAAACTGAGTCCTTAATTAAATGTACTGTACAGTGTACAGCAAAAATAATCATACCAATTAAACTTTTTCATGTTTACTCTTATCAAAAAGTTGTATCTATATTTTGGTATGTCAGACTAAATGTTGTTTGCTTTTTTAACAAACCTAATCAGGCAATTATATTAGCTCCTTCTAAAATTACAGATCTAAATACATGTCTTGGCTGTATGCAGTTGGAAACCTGTATAGCAATGGCTGCGTTGCAAAGGTCTACAAATTGAGTTAGAGAACTTTACATAACAATCAGCATTATTAATTCCAACAACATAATAGACAAGTCAGAAATAAAGTTGCAAGGAGTTTAAAGTAAGGGTTGGATTTCACAAAAACACTCTTAGACAATCTCCTCGCACAATTTAAATTTTGATTTGAAAATGAAAAAAATATGATAAAGCTGCACTGCCACCACGAAATGGCCTTACACATACATTTGCAGGTCAGCAATACCTACAAAGGCAAAAAGATGCCAAAAGTTATTTTAAAATAGCTGCAGAAATTACCAATTTTGATGGGAGAGAGATAAATTGCCAGAACAGTTGTGCACTCTATGGCCTTTAGGAAACAAATACAAAGAGAAAAAGAAGAGATTAAAATAGGCAGTTTGCAAAAAAAAAAAATATATGTGGTAAATAGTCCTCCATTAAAAGTAGATTAAAATGTTTCTCTCTGCTCTACATGCAAAATTATGTTATATTTAATGCATTCATGGGAAGCTGATCAAAGTTAATTGAAAGATGTTGGAGTTAAATATTGGAAAATTCCTGAAGACAACCTGTATGAGGTTGCAAAAGACTTGAGACTGATGTTGACCTTCCAGGAGGACAAAACTGTAAACATACAGCAAGAGGTTTGATGAAATTGTTTAGATGAAACCATAGCAATGTTTTACAAAAACCCCTTAAAATCCGCACTTAAATCAGATTGTTAGACTACAATGCTAAAGGAGACATACCACTACAGACTTGCTGCTTGTATTGTAGCTGAGAGGAGGCTCTACTAGACCTTGACTTAAGTGGGACAAATATTTATAGTTGTTCAGATTTTTTATTGTAAAAAAACTGTGAAAACTTTTTCCTGTCACTGCAAATAAAATACTCTGTAGTTAGCAATTATGATATAAAAACAACAGAAAAAAAGTTCAAAGTCAATCAATTTTTTGGCAACTTTATAATTTTCTTTGATGTGTATTTTCTTTTATGGACGGAGGTTTCAACATACTTACTGTATATTTCTAACCTAGGTATGCCGGGAATACCAGCGAGGTAACTGTACACGAGGGGAGAACGACTGCCGCTTTGCACATCCGGCAGATAGTACTATGATTGACACCAATGACAACACAGTCACCGTGTGCATGGACTACATAAAGGGCCGCTGCACGAGGGAGAAGTGCAAGTACTTTCACCCTCCAGCTCACCTGCAGGCCAAAATTAAAGCCGCTCAACATCAAGTCAACCAGGCTGCAGCGGCTGCAGCCTTGGTATGTATCTATCTGTCCAATATTTAAAGCAAGTAAACATCTAAAACAGTTCTATTACCATATATCTTTTTTTTTTTTAATGTTCAGTTATTCCAAAAGAAATATTTTTAATTTGCCTTGAAAAATGTATAAAATTGGAGCATAAAAAATACATATCCTACAGATTATGTTACCTATAGTATATAAAAATAAAGCCTTTGTATTGTATTTTTTCTATCCTCAGTACATTGACTATGTAAAACAGTAACTAATTATGCAATCAGATGTACATGGTGTGTGTGAGCTTATATGAATGTGTTAGCATATGACTGAGCCTTTTGCTCCTTTTTTGCTCGCCGTTGTTTCGCTGCTTCATTAGCTGTGTATTTTGCTGTTCATAGTCAATAGTCAACTTGTGCTAAATTTATGCTGAGAGGACAATTTTGTGGATACCGCTGTTCAGTTTAATGTGTTGTGCAATGCAGTGATCACAATCTCCAGGGATGCAACGTTTTGCTTAGCCAAGTGCTGGAGATGACATTGCCCAGGTGTCCGTAGAAGAGGATTAGCATCACCAAAATCAGTCTTTTATACTTAGATTTGTCCATTCATGTATTTTAATCAGAGATCATTTTGTAAGTTTTTCAAACATTTATATCTTGTAATTTGGATTATTATGGCTTACATGTAATGCAAACCTAAAATTGAAAACTTATGAATTTAACCCAATCCAAACCAAAATTAACATCTTTTCAATGTATAAATCTTGTATAATGGCAATATGACTTTTACAATCAGAGGGAAGGCTACTTACTTGACCAATGTCTAGAAGACATTGACACCCCCCACAGGTAGGGTCAGCGACAAAATACTGCTAAGAAACTCGTGATTCACATTCTGCTTTTTTTTCCCCAAGCACAGTCAAAGAAAATTGAACAAAAGAAAATTTGATTAGTTGAAAACATGCACTGCCTTCAGGAAGAAGCAGAGACTTATGAGGATTGTCAAGTAAAATCCATATAAGGATTTAGGGAAGCTTCAGCATTAGTGGGCTGATGCTGGAAAGAGCATATCAAGAGCAACAGTCCTACACATGAACTACAAGTATTGCCTTGCTCTTGTTCAGCTGCTCCTTCACCAGACATGCAGTCGGAAGAAATCCCTCTGAGCTGAAGAGAAAAACAGGATACACTGTAGCTGTTTACTGGTCTGAAAACATCTGATATTTTAATTTTCTCACACATTTTTAATATATTTCTTACAGGCAAGAAATTATTATGACAGTTTAATATATGCTTTTTATATATAAACACATATCTGAAGTCCCCAAATTCATCTTAAGAAGTGTTATCACAGTTAAATTGGTGCTGCAGAAATGGAAACCTAACTGGAATTGGAATAACTGTAATGAGGAGAACAGGATTAGTGGCAGGTAACTAGTCAATGGTGTTGAAGATGCACTGAAAGGTACTATCCTTCTCAAAAGCCTGGAGCTTGTCCTGGCTCTGATAATTGATCCCAGTGGCTCTGTTTGCATGATTTAGATCCCGAACCCTTGGGTGCACTTCCACCGGGTGACACTTGACGGAGGGACGTACGTAGCATGCAAAGGTGGAAGATGTGGAGTCCACAAGTCATCTTTATGCCATGTATTTGTTCTACTCAGCCACTGAACCAGGTGAGTACAATCTGCACAATTCAATTCACTGTGCAGAATGAACTCAGCTATTTCAGTGGCTGGGCAGAACAAGCACATGACTTGTTGACTGCACATCTCTCACCTCTGGCAGCATGTAGTGAAAATATTGAGACAGAGTTGCAGTCATTCTGAGGATCATGCACAGAGAAGCAGTCCAAGAGGCAGATGTTTTCCAGAAGGAGTTGACTAGTGGGGAATCCAGGATCGAGGCAAGAGAATCTTTAACAGGAAACACACTAACCAGGCAGAAGCTTCCAAAGGGACAGATGCAGATCAGAGGTCCAGAAATGGATCATACACAATTGATGGAACTGTTTAGATGGCTACAGGCAAACAGACTTGGTCATGGGGCAAGACTTCATTGTCCAGAGATCAGAAGCCAATACGAGTATCAGACAGGGACAGGGTAGGAGAGAGAAAAACAGGAACAAGACAGGTCGAGTTCAGGTTAAAACAAGTATTTATGGGTGGTCTACTCATACGAATTACTGGTAAGAATCTGGTGGTTACCCATTGGGGAAGCCAGGAATAAATAATTCTCCTCCCAGGTGCAGCAGCTCCTGGAAATTTGAGCTTCTGCAGGTGTAACTGCTCAGACCTTGACTGCCAGTGCAGCAGACAGAGCAGGGAGTGACATATGGGATTGCACATTTCAAGCTTCAGCAATATATGTGTGTCTTAACAGAAAATATGTTGCAAGGAAATAAAAACCGATCAGACTCATAATCCATTGCCATGCCTATCAGCTTTAGTTCTTTACTCTAAAGAAATTATTAAGAAGAAAACAGAAATATCTTACACCAAAACATTTTAATGCAGAAAAAAGGCTGCATTAATGAATTATTGTTTGAATTAACCTAATAGTTACCTGTGATGGACTGTATTGTTTAATATAAGCTCGTGCAGCTTAGGCTGTTTGGGGGGGTAAAAGGAACACATAAGGGCAGAATGAATGATTTGGTTTACTGTTCAGTAGAATTAAATACACCACCAGGCATTTTCCACACTAGTTTCTAAGCCTAATACTGAAGCCAGTGAACTTAAAATATTAACATTGAAATATGTTCTGATTAAAACTACATTAATATTCATTGATTGTCTTGTTTATCCATTCATTAATCAAATAAAATCCTCACTTCTGAAGCAGAACACCTTGCTAACAGTAGTTTGAATTTGTGAGCATCAGCTTTCTTCTAACAGTAAATGGGCCTTTGTTAATTCAGTAACCCTACAGTATGTGCATGCTATAGTCTTTTGTGTGGTGTATATTGCATTCCAATGATTTTTTTTTTCCCTGGTTGTTTTTTTTTTCATTTCTTTGTGTTTACAACCCACACTGTACCGCTGCCTCCCATGATGCACCTGCGCTTGCTGGTTTATGTTATTGTGCTTGAATCCCATTGGCCCATTGCCACACCATGTGCTCGCTGCCTGCTAATTAAGACTCAGTCGCCTGTCAAATCACTGAAGCGGCCCCTCGATGCAACTTTTGATCTGGTACTATAACTTTTCACCTTTTAGCTTGGCATGTAGCCACAGTTTTAAACATACGTATATACAATTGGTGATTAAGTAATGAAATTGTGGGAACACTGAGGGGTGACGAACTGATAAATTTCAGCACCTGAAAACTTTCCAAATTATGTAATTGTTTCAGAACATCACAATCTTTTGTTGACATACTGCAGTATCAGTTCATCACCTTTTGGTGAATCTTTTGTTACAGTTGTGGAATGTATTCATATCTTAGTAGTCATTGCACGTTGACATTAGTTTTCCTTTTGCATGAGTAAATGTTGAAACGAAATCATAACAGTATTAACATGTCAATTAATATTATCATGAAACCTTCATTTCAACTTTTTCTAAATATATATCTTTTCACTAACTAATGACAATAACTATATCTAATAGTATAATGGAGTTTATAAAAAAGTACTGAAACTGCTTTATATTATCCTTAAAATGAACTGTTAGGATTATTTAGCATTAATCATAAGTTTGTATATTGACTGTTTTGTAGATGTAGCTGAATATCTCTACATTTTGTGCTGCTCAGATCCTTTTACTGTTGGACACTGCTTATTTATTTTACTTTTAGGAGCTCTGTTGAAAAGGAAGTTTAAACTTCTAATGGAGTTCTCTCTTCTGTTTTCTCTTATCTATCACTGTCACCATTCTTTGTTTTCTTTCTTTACCATTATTTTCTTTTGGCGTTGTCCCCCTCATCAGGGGCTCCCTCCTGTCTTGCCTCCTTTACCAAAGAGACCTGCACTTGAAAAAGCCAACGGTGCCAACACTATGTTCAATGCTGGCGTTTTCCAGTATCAACAGGCCCTGGCCAACATGCAGTTTCAGCAGCAGGCTGCCTTCATACCGTCAGGTAAGACCTTGGTTCCTTTATAATATACAGATGTTGTAATCATACAGGCTGCTTAATCACATTTTCTGTTTTGGCATCACCATAGATTGGCTGAATGTGTGTTTTTATGTGTTAGTGACTTGATTAATAACCTTGCATGAACTTTACTTTATACATTGCTTTTATTTAAATGTGCATACCCCTTGAGCCTTTTCACATTTAGTCAATTCAATGGCATTTCTGACATTTTACTATATGTAAAAGACAAAAAAATGTTGTTATGTTTTTTTATAGTGGATTGGAATAGAAATCATACCAGAATTTTACAAACAAGAAAATGATATGAGTGGTATACATTTTCCAGTCAATACTATCATTTGCTGCAATATACCAGCAAGTCTTTTGGTGTAAGACTTAATCAACTTTGCACATCTTACATTTTTGCCAAATTTTCTTTGCATATAGCATAAGCTCATCAGATTTTTTAAAGAAGGACCGTGTTTTTTTAGTTTTGGGATAGATTACCAGTTAGACTCAAGTCATGACTAGAAGGAACCTTTTTATTGCTGCTCTGACTGTATATTTAGGGTCAATGTTCTGCTAAAGGCAAACCTTTTTTTTTCCTTGATGCTGCTACCCCATCTTAATTTACTGGATGGACGGTGTGTTCAGAGAGGTGTACAGTTTAATTATCTATCACACATAGCATAGGTCAAAATGCGCCTCCCTATGGCTTTCTTTTAACGTTGGCTTTCTTCTTGATACGTTATTATATACTGTAGATCAAATTTGTTGATTGCACCCATAATAACTTTACTGTCAACATGTTTCCCCACCTGAGCTATGGATTAGATTTTCCTTCAAGGTTACCATGAGTCTTTTGGCATATTACCACACTCTGTCCTGTCAATACCTTTACCACATGGTCATATAGATACAATAGCAAGATCAAATACAGACACTATTTGGGAATTATTCCTTGGGATATCCGTGTAAAAATAGAAGAAGACAAAAGGAAGGCAAACTTTACAGATTTTCCTAAATTTTACTAAATAATAGTTGTTTTTTTGTTGTGCAATCCTTTGTTTCTTTTTAAAATTGTAGTTAAAGAAAGATCAGTTTCAGTGTGACAAAATTTGAATAAGCTCAAGGGGTATGGATATCTTTGAAAGAAACTGTGTCGGGACTGCAAGAATTAAGGTTTGGTGGTAGAATAAATAATCAATTATTTGCTTCTGAGAATCTGCGTAGATTATAGATTTGACTGACAGGATTTTATGGTTTATTTAGATGATACATCCTCTGCTAATATAATGAGGATTACTTCTCTTGTTAATGCATATATCTAGTATTATAATGGACACATACGTGAACAGCTTATTTGAAGTGCACTTTTTAGGCATTGCAGTGTCATCTTACAATGTGGCCAGTATTCTCATCTGACAATCTAAGAATAGCTTGCCATTGATTTCCAGCAGTTCCTCATATGTCTCACTCCATTGGGCTGTCAAGTCACTACAAACCACTTAAGGGATTCAGAAAGCAGGTCATTCAAATGTTTCATGTCACAAACAGTTGCTGTGGGGTAGATTTTAAAATGAGGCCACCGCTAATATTTAACTTTATTTCAATGGAGCAGTTAAACACTGAATTTAGGTTACCTTGTATGTTAATAATCTTCACAATCAGTATTGTGGCTGAAGCAATTAAAGTTTGCACAACAGTTTAACCTAATCTTAGAATCATTAATTCACATCCAGGTCAAGTTCCATATTGTCTGATTCTAAAACACTTTTTTGATGTGTCCCCCACATTTACTCCAATCTCTGTTGCAATGCATGATGGGCAGGCTCGATATTGTGCATGACACCTGCAACAAGTGTTGGTAGGTGCCAGCTTTCCTTACTGATTTTGTTTGAATCCATTATGGTCTCTTCTCTCACATACTCACTTTTTTATTTGAGCACTTTCTTTGCTTTTGCAAAACTCAAAATTAAGTTATAGTCTTTTTGTTGGCAGGTTCAACAAACATAAAATGCTTTATGGTAATATTCAGTACATCTTTAAAAAAAGAAATGTCCACCCTTTTTAACTGCAAATCCCCTAATGCTTGTTGCAGTTGAAATGTCCCTTCTTTATTATATTCTCCTTTTCAGTTCGCTAACTTCTTAGGCACATTTTAGTATCAGTTTGTAAATTTTATTTAATATGGGAGAATTTTAATTTTTAACCAAAGAAACTAAAATATTTCCCACAATTTTACTTCCCTTTTTGCAACAACCATTTTAAGTGCTAGCTAAGACTCTTTTTAAATTTGGAGGTTTAGCTTCCACTTGTTCAAAAACGCAGGGCAGATTGAGGTATTGCTTACTGTAACTAACAATATTAAAAAAGTTATGACAGATCACAAGTGTTTAGGAGCACCTAGTACTTGCACCAATCCAAAGTTTATAGACATTTTGCAATCTCTACTTTATGTAAAACAATCAACAGCTGATAATTATTTCATTAAATGTTGATTCCCCTTTCAAAAAAAAAAATAAATAAATAAATTACAAAATTAAAATGTCTATGTTCATTCCTACAGAGCCTGATCTGTAAGTATTCATAGAAGAAGTAGAGGTAATATCTTGCCTTGTATGTTAGTACATTAACAATCACCATAATAACATTATCTTAAATTTGTGATTTAAAAATCTATGTAGCATGTACTATTACAACTCAAAGCTCAAATGAATAAGCAAGGCCAAGGTAGAAAATGCAATATCCTTTTAAACAGCTTTTGCGAGTATCCCCTTCTTCCAAAGTCAATTTAAACAACTCACTGAGCCTGAACAACTTTGAGTCCTCTTATTTAAGTTACTAATTCCGCAAGAAAGACTGTTGCTTTTAGGTAAGCCTGGGAGAACTTACATTTGCTGCACTTACTCTAATGAAAAAATATCATATTGCATATTTAAGAATTCAAACTTGCAGCATTTTAAAGAAACACAATACTTCTCTCATATTTATAAGCAGTCCCTAAATAGACATGCAAATGGTGCAAAGTTTGAATAGGGCTAAATCTTCGCTGTTTCAACTGTTTGTGTGATCTTTCCCCCCCAAGTACCCATGATGCACGGTGCTTCTTCAGCCACTGTGTCTGCAGCCGCCACATCTGCCACAAGTGTTCCCTTTGCAACAGCAACAGCCAATCAGGTTTGCTCCTCTCCTGTCTCCTCTTGCTCTCTTTCATGTCTGGGTAACTCAGCTCAGGCTTGACTGTCCTTTGTATTATGACTCTGATATGCCTCTTTATAATGCATGAACAATAAACAAGGGTAGTTTCTAATCTTTTGTCAATTATTCCGACTGTGATTAAGTACACAATCTCTGAGCATATCTTTTACATTTTTTAAAAGTGAATTGTCCTTGTTTTATTTAATCCTCTTGTTTATTTATCCCTGTTTTGGTTATTTTTTCATTACTTCTCTTCTCTCCTCTCTGTCAGATTCCAATAATATCTGCAGATCATCTGAATAGTCACAAGTATGTGACCCAGATGTAGGAGTCTCAGTCATACAGTATGTACTTCTTCCTACTGAAGCATCTAACAGACATACATTTACATTTATATTCACCAAAAAAGTGACCAACATAATTAAATACCCCAAAATAAAAAAAAAGCTGGTCAATTATTAAGAATAATGAAGGTTTTTAAGTATGTTGTTGGCAGCATGTGAGATTATGATATTATATTACTAAGGTTAATTCTGACTGTCCATATATGTCCACATGGACAAAAACATTTTGCATGCGTGTTTGCAACTTTATTCTAAACTTCATAGATAGATACAAAAATGTGCCAACAATCTGTTTTAAGTTTGTTATATTGCTTTGCTGGTGGAAAGCAGAGGTACAAGTAAACCAAGACAGTCTGGTACTACATAAGCTTTGGGGGCAGTACGTATTACTGCCTCCTACAATGTTGTTCTTTTTGTACCACAAACTTCAACAGACAGTTACCAATCTCACACACGCTCATGCAATAGAGGTCTGGTGCGTTCTAAACTCTGACAAACTAAGCTCCTCCAGCTGTGCTTGTGCACAGCTCACTCTCTGCACTGGTGCTCAGCCTGCTCCTTGCTCACTCACCATAATCTATGTGCTTGGCTTTCTCTGCCCTCACTACCTGATATACTATATGTAATTGAACAAATCAGCTTTAATACAAAAAGTTAGAGGTAGCCTGGGATTTCAAAACTTATGTTGCATACATTAATTCAGCTGTATAAAACCGCGCGCACACACACATCTTCTCATAGCACACTTCCTTTTTATGCACCCAGCTTGTTTGGAACTGGTCCCAGGTTCACATGTACTTTTACCCCATTAAAATGTGTATGGATTGAATTAGATACCGTCAGTTTTAAAATGGCCTTAAAAGAAAGATGAGATACTAAGTCATGAGGTTGAAAGTAAAAATGAAAATTATTTAATTATTAACATTGATAATACTAAATATGTATGAAAGGGAACCACTACTGCAGCCTGCCAGTCCAGGGGACTTTCCCCATTTTGTTAGGTGTTTTACGGTGTTGTATGTACGGGACTAAATGTGGCCTAGTTTTATTTGCCAATTTTAAAGAGGCATGACAGAGTTTTTTAATTGTAAAACCACCTGTGGTCAAAACACAGAAGTGCAGCACTCTTCTGCTCCTTCTTGAATATAGCACTTCAATTGTTTGCTAGATTTGATCCATTTAACAGGAATGCGCTTGATATCACATCTACAAAAACAGCGTGGGACCTTCTGACCTGAGGTAGATTCATGTAAATTTGTCTAAAGGCTAATAAATGCTAATGGGTGCTGAACTAATGAGGTGTCTGTATAATCATCAAATTATTTTTTATTAGTAGAGGGTCTAATAAAATGACTATTGTAAAGTTATGCATGTCCATTTAAATCGTAAAGGCTAAAACTTATGGAAAAACAGCACCTTGAATGCCCTTCCAGTTTAAATAAAATCAAGAGTCATTTGATTAGTTATATTTTAGGGATTTTATACTTGTTGTCAATTGAAAAAACTTTCGTTGCTGCCATAAATTCTCATTATGCGTCAAAAATATGCACAGATTCCTGCAATCTTTCACATATTAATTTTTATACATCCCAATATTTTTTTTAGGTTTTAACATTTCACTTTAAGCTTTCTGTGTGCAAACTCAATTTATATATGAAGCCCCATATATAAAATTTATTTAATTAATGAATAGACATTAATAATAATAGTGACGGTTTCTAATCTGCTGTATTTTTGTGAATCTGTCTAGATGGATCTGGAGATGGAGTGAGCTGGTCTGAAGTCTAAGATTAAAGGTGAACCTTCATACAACAAGAGCTGGATTGGTTTGGAGTAAATCTGCATGTCAACATAGAAGGAACAGTTTATTAGAAAGGTTCTCATGTGAAGTTCACCACGGTCACACAACAACTGATAAAAGAGCATCATTTGCATTTAAATGCGTGCCTCATGTTTGCAGAGGCAACTAACCTTTATTCACCAGACACATTTTGAATGTCAACATAAGGTTAACTTGTGGAGGTGTCATCAGGACTGAATAGGTACATCCGCTGACCAAGAATAAAGACTTATGTTATCTGTTTATTCATTGATTGTTGGTCTCTGAATTCTAATGTGTTCATTTGTTTACACCGAGGTGCACCTTGCATTTAATTTAAGGTAAAGGAACAGATAATCTGACTGAACCACATATGCATGCATAATGTTATTTTTTTCTGGCTCTATTTTTCCAGCTGTTATGAGGAAATTTACCCAAGAAAAGTCAGAGTTAGAGGCTAAAAGACAACTGAATGTCTGTGAGATGTCTTTTAAACCTTTGTAACTTACTTTTTTGTCTCTTAAGCACATGTCTTTTATCCCACAGGGATCCCTGTAAAGTGCCATACATCTCAAAATAATTAGAAGCTGTATTCGTGCAGTGTTACAAAAAATTTTAACTTAACAATTCCCTTTAAAACATGCATACATGTTTAGATTGTTTCGGGACAGCATGTCATAATCATTTCATATGATTTCTATATAACACTCCAGATTATTTGATTCAGTTACTTAAATATTCTACTGATTGAAAAATTTTTTTTTACTATATTATTTTATAGCTGGCTTATGTCAGATGTTTATAGATACAACAGTTGTATCTACAGAGATCTATTTGTCTGTGCCAATATGGGTAGGGTGTTGTCAAAATATTCATACTCCGTTTCACATTTTGTCAAACTACAATCAGAAAAAACACATTTTGCTTTAATCAGAGCTGCAACTTATTTGTTGTATGTCTCTGTATCATCTTTGCATACATAGAGACTGTAACCTTAGCCTATTCTTTGTTAACCCTTATAAGTGTGCTGTAGCAATTTAAGTTAAATGTAGGTGTACAGTAAGGCAAAACTCTCCCTTAATTGAAGGTCTGTTGTAGCATCTAACAGGGTTTCTTACGGTTTACTTTATTATTTTACTTACAGTTTACTTCAATATTTGATATAAACTCTAGCCAGGTTTTCTCTTCTGCTGAAAAATCCCCCCCATGCCAAGCATGCTTGTTTTCAGCCAAACTCCATGTTTTGCCCTGCAGGTGGGTTTTAAAAACAATAGGATTTCATTTAAGGAGATCAGAGCAATCAAGACTAAATATACACTTCAGATTTTTAGTTTTCAAAATTTAAGACATACTTTAGGGTTATTGAACATTACACTCATGTGTTACTCTACGTTGGTGTGTCATAAGAAAATTCCGGGAATATATATTTTTAAGTTTGTGATTTACAAGTGACAAAATTAAATAATGCAAGGTATTGATACTTTTTCAACACAGTTTAAGTTGCATGTGGGTTTGAATGAGAGACCAAAGACTCTCTCTTTGATAAAAATATCACTGATAGAATGATAGAAATAAATGAAATAACTGCTGTAAGGCCAAACAGAAAATCTGTAAAGCAATTTCTGATGAATGTGTACTTGATCAAATAACTTGATTTGTTTTTCTTGTATATGGTAATGCAGAAACTAAGGCAGGTTTTCAAAGAAAAGTAATAGTGGTGAGTGTTTGTATATATCGTCTGACATATTTAAGAGTGTTTGTTTGATACCCGAAAAACCATTTTTCAGATAGTCACCCAAAGTCTTTTTGTGTCAGTGTTAATACGTGTTGATTATGAGTAGACTAGAGGGAGTGTCTTTTAAAGGATGTCCAGCTCAAAGAAGGTTTGGATCTTTAGAGTAGATCTAACTACTTGTTTGTCCATTTTTTATTTTCTTTTTCTATGTTTTTAAGTGATTTGTGTTGGCATATTTAATTGTTGGATAGGTCAGGTTTAACAAGTGTCAGAATATTCAAACTGATTGTATTACTCATCCAAAGCCTTAGAATGTACCATTGGGTCAGCACAATGCAACATGCCATTTTAAACCATGCAGCTGCCTAATTCACGCCATATTACAACACACACAAGGCACTAAGTGATTGTCACTTGTGATTCTTGCATGTGTTTTCTTAACTCTTTCTTTTTTCTTAGGAAAGGAGTGTTTTTCTTTTGTTTTTTATACTTAGATATTAGTTCCTATTTTTAGTTTTGCTGATGATATTTATCTTTATAATAATGACTATATTAGGGACATTGTGTGTGTGTGTTTGTTTGTGTGTCCTCCATTCAGAGTTTCCTGAGATTCCATGTAATGTTACACTTAGTATGATAATGATTGTAAGCTTGATATTTTCTACGTTATGCATATTGTTGAACTGTATGCATTTGATTCATTTCTCTAGTTGTTCTGTGTTCTTTGAGCAAAGATGTTTTATATGACTAACAGTGTTGAAAGAACAGAAACGGACAGGCTGAGTTGTCACTGTGACAACAACAGTCAATAACTGACTAATATTTTAACAACTGTTAGATTTTTAACTAGTCTTATAATTTAAAAATATTATCTAAAAGTCTAGTTGATGTTTAGAGAAAATTTTATTTTCTACTTTATCCATTTCGAATAGTAACTATTGTTTTATTATTTCTACTCTCCCTGGAAATTGGGCCATGTTGGAAAACAAGCTGCATATTAAATCACTTTTACAGGCATTGTTGGCATGGTGAAGGTAAACATGGCGAGCGAGGGAACTGAATCCACTGTACTAGCCTTTAACTTTGCCAGCTGCAAACAACAAGGGTTAAGGGTGGGGAATACTATGGCGATAAAGGTAATAAATGTTGACTTTTTTGCACTTCTGTACATAGTCAAAAAAGAGAGAATCATGTATATTGAGATCTTATTTTGAATAAAAAATATGTCTGATGACAGGGAATTTTGCTAGCACAACAAAAAAAAAAAATATTTCGAAAGGCTGAACAAACATTGCTTGCATTTAAAGGGGGCTGAGTTCTCACTCTCCTACCCCTTTCAGAATAAAAGGCCAAGTGTTGCTCTTCTTTTTTGTCAGCAGCTTGTAGTTTGCCTGGTAACCTTCTGGAAGGTGGGCCTCCACAGCCCTCCTGCAGCGCAAGAGCCTGACTGGGTTTGTCTGGTTTCATTAAGCTGCCTGCACTGACAGGTCTGCACCATGACTACGCCCAGCCAGGCCCCACCTACCACATGTCCTGTTTATTTACCTAACTCAAAGTGGAATGCATGTCAAAGGAAAAAACATATACTGTTACAAAATCTTCTCAACACAGTAATATTGAATAAGAAATCATTTACATAGAAAGATGTATTTACAGTATACAATATTCTATCAATGTAATGGAGTAAAATATATATGAAATAAAAAATAGAATAGTGGTTTATAAAAAAAAAAAAAAAAGATTCCAGAGACTATACTTACTAAGGTGTTACCACTTGGAGAAATAAAATACATGCAACACAAACACAATAGCTATTAAGTATTTACTTTATGTTTATGTAAGCTGTGCTTGTAGAAGAGGAAAAAGATAAAACAGAAATATCAGTGCAACATTGAATAGTATCTTGAAGAAATCCCAAATTATGAGCAATCTTCCCTCTAAATGTTCAATGTGTCTGGGCATATGTACATACTCATTTCCTTGAGTACACTGAAGACCACTGTGAGCAATATTAGATCTGCATGCTGTGGTCACACACCAGCATTAGAGCTGTTATAAACCAGGATCAAGTTACATGGCTTATTAGAAGAATTAGATGACAGAAGCTATTTCCATTAGTTACTTTTAATATAAGTGATCAGGGCCATTTCAAATAAAAAACCTAAATTTGGTTCATTAGACGTGAAGCATGTTTTGCTGTATGTAAGAGTCCTGCTTTCCCAGGATGGAAGAAATGAGACGTTGACAACTTTTGTTCACGTTGAGACATCACCATTTTCCTCCATGAAACGTGTGCTGTAACTTGTGATACAGTGAATGAACATTTCTGGTACTCTTCTCGGTGAAATATTTAACTACAGATTGGATGACAAAATAATATGTGTCTCATTTGTTTTTCAATTTTAAACCAACAAAGAAAATAATTTATTTATTTATTTTTTTTAACTTGGCTTCATAAAAAATAAAAAAAACGAAAGAACAATTCATTTTTAATTCGCTCCTACATTCAATATGAAAAAAGACGTCTAGCTTATGCATTTGTTTTTTAAACCTTCTGTATGCTCTGATTAATGATGAAGAAGATAGGTGAATCCCAAAGGCTTTTTTGGACTTATACCTCTGGCAATCTATAATTAACCGTTTTAGTTCCTTATGAATTCTAAGACTTTTAAACTTAAATATACACTGCTGGAAAAATAAAGGGAACACGTAAAATAAACACAATATAACTTCAATTAAATTAAACCTCTATGAAATCAAACTGTCCACATATGAAGCAACAATGACTAAGAATGAAATTCACATGCTGTTGTGCAAATGGAATAGAAAAACGAAGACAACCTGGTTCTGCAGGTTGGAACCACACATATTTAATTGGTAGATTAATTTAAGTGTTCATTGATACTTTAGAGAACACAGCATGAATCTGTGATCATTTTAAGCATCTGACCTTAGCATCTTGCTGCATTCACCTTGAACAGCAGACGACAGAAGGCAGAGCCCCTCCCTGCTTCTGCTTTACATAAACTACAGACTTTGCTCCATGCTTCTTTCTCATGTTTGATCTCCTCTAATGTACATTTGCAGTATTAATGCAGCAAAAACTAAAACACAATTCTTGAGTACAGTACATCATTTTGGGTTTAGTAATTTAGTTCCAAGTCATTTTAATTTAGCCTTAGTAACAACTAGATTTCAATGAAAGATTTAATTTATTGATTATATTTTTAAGCAAGAGCCAAAATAATAAATAAAATAATAAACCCAGCAAATTGCAATGTATCAGGCTCTAAAAAACATAACAGTTCTTATAAAAATGCTGCTCTGAGTTTTGAGGAATTACCTGATAATATAGAGTGACTTTTTCTCTGAATATTTCAGTTCTCTTTTCTCTTCAACAAGCACACTCTTCAATTTATGATATGATGTAAATTAAAGGGTAGTTTTTGTTTGTTTTCCTGTTCGATTTATTTATGCCTGTAGTGCTAAGATGATGTATTATGTCCTCTGCTGAAGTTTGTTTCTGCTTGTTTTACTGTTCCAGACCCCTTGAAAGAATGTGTAATGTTTGCAAGCTGGCTACCTTGTCAGAAAAGCACCAGAGGAGAATAATTTGCATAGATTGCAACAGTCTAAAGCCATAAACTTTCAATCATCAGATATAAATAAGAAAGGAGCTGATAAATAGGTGGGGCTGATACTTTTTTGGAGTTGGTAGAAGTGCGTATGCCTCGGTTTTACTGATTACACCATATGCACTAATATAAGACATGAAGAGTATTTAATAGAACCTTTGGAGCGATGTTTCAACTTTACAGTATGTGTGGAGTTATGAGAAACAGATTTTTTTTCATGGGGCCTGTATTGCTATATTATTGCTGTTATGCATTTATAAAATGTAATAAAATTTACAACTGACGAAAATAATCGTTTTCCGTGTGACTTTTATCAACTAGGTTCTTATACATTCATTATTTAGACTTTAATAGAAGCTGATTTGTGGAGAGTTTGCATTTTAATTTTATGATAATGAAAGCAGTGAAATGAATTTTAGGATCTTACAAGCCATATTTGAAGTGTATTTGTTTTCTAATTTAGAATTTGTATTTATGTCTTACCATATTTACACCATGAGATCATTTCAATAATTATTATTTTTGCTAAGCAAGGTAACAGCTGATTGAGACACCTATTTAATTCTAAGGCAACAAAGATAACCAAGAAAAAAAATGAAAGCAAACATATTCATGCTAACAAAGCTTGAATATGTTTTAAATTGATATATATTATTATATACATTAGTAAAATATACATTTACAAACATTTTTAAATAATTTTTTTTTCTTACAAAGTCACTATAACCAATATTGTTAAACTACAGTATGAGAATAGATACTTCTGCAATGTGTTCAGTTTTGCTGGTCTGCCTTCTTTTGCTTACGTTGTCTCTGCTGCCATGTTATACATCGTGTGTTTTATCCCACCTTTTAGATTCCAACTACCCAGAATGCCTTGCATTGGGAGGTCTGTTACAAGGATAAGTGTTTCTAGTTTCTCATGGTGGCTGCTCACATTTTCATTTGTTACCTTGCTTGGCTAAAACTAATTTGGTAGCCAGGGAGTTCACCCTATCAGGTGAAAGTTCTGTTCAATATCCCTCCTTTCCTCAAACAAATTCAGCAGGAGGAGTCCCAGACTGATCATGTGTGAAACTAAACCTGAATACAACACATGATCTATTTTGCTTGTCCGATTATAAATACTGCCCACCCCACAGAACTATAGGTACGACGTATGTCGCTCCAGAGCCATTCGATTCCAGACCCAGGGTCTTTCTGCATTCAGTTTGCGTGTTCTCACTGAGCATGGTGGGTTTTCTCCGGGTACTCCGGCTTCCTCCCACAGTCCAAAAACATGACTGTTAGGTAAATTGGCTTCACTAAATTCTCCTTAGGTGTGAGTGTGTGCGTGAATGGTTGTTTGTCCTGTTTGTCTCTGTGTTGCCCTGCGATGGACTGGTGACCTGTCCAGGATGTACCCTGCCTCTCTCCCATAGACAGCTGGATATAGGCACCAGCTCTCCTCGTGACCCAGCGGATTTGCAAGGTCTCCCACTCATGGAGGGGTCTGTAATTGTCATCCAAGGTGCATGTCCACTGTGAGAGACGTTATCTTTAAAAACAAAAATCTAGAAATCACAATATATGATTTTTTTAACCAGTTATTTGTGTGATACAGCTGCAAACAAAAATTGGTACCCTTGAGAAAAAAAAAAAAATTATATTTGATACATTAGCCTTTTTTTTGCAATTACAGATAATATAGCAAAAATTTCCTGAAGTTTTTCACCAGGTTTGCACACACTGCAGGAGGGATTTTGGCCCACTCCTCCACATTGATCGTCTCTAGATCAGTCAGGTTTCTGGGCCATCGCTGAGAAACACAGTTTGAGCTCCCTCTAAAGATTCTTTATTGGGTTTAGGTCTGGAGACTGGTTAGGCCATGCCAGAACCTTGATATGCTTCTTCCAGAGCCACTTCTTGGTTATCCTGGCTGTGTGCTTTGGGTCATTGTTATGTTGGAAGACCCAGCCTTGACCCATCTTCTGCGTCATCCATGATTTCAAACCGTGACATCTTAGTGTATTAACCACAGTAACCTTGGAAACGGGGGTCCCAGCTCTTTTCAGGTCATTGACCAGCTCCTCCCCAGTAGTTCTGGGCTGATTTCTCACCTTTCTTAGGATCATTGAGACCCCACGAGGTGAGATCTTGCATCGAGCTCCAGTCCAAAGGAGATTGACAGTCATGCTAAGCTTCTTACATTTTTTAATTATTGCTCCAACAATTGACCTTTTTTCACCAAGCTGCTTGGCAATTTCCCCGTAACCCTTTCTAGCCTTTTGGAGGTGTACAATTTTGTCTCTAGAGTCTCTGGAAAGCCCTTTGGTCTTGGCCATGTTAGTAGTTGGGTTTTTACTGATTGTATAGGCTGGACAGGTGTCTTTATGTAGCTAACAACCTCAAACAGGTG